CGTGAAGCCGCGCGTGAGAGAGGAGACCGTTTTAGCGCGGAGCCGGCGCGGCCATCAAGTGATTCGACCCTCACGACCGAGAGCCGACCATGACCTTCGACCAGGAGACGGAGGGCACCCCATTCTTGAATTCGCGATTTCATTTTCAAGTGCGAGCTGCGCGCGTCCACCTGCTAGCTGTTACACATTCCAGACATCGCCACGCTGAGGATTACTTGTCAATTGAGAGAGAATTGAGTGCGCGCAATTTGGAATTGAGTGAGATTAGAGTTTGCAGAGGGAGCAAGGAGCTCGAGCGGAGCAGAGAGAGAGCTAGCGAGCAAGCTAATTTCAAGAACGCAATGTCGAAGCTGAACAGATTGCGGATGCTGCCGCTCCGACTTCCACAGAACGGGTTGCGTGCCTACGAGGAGCGGCTGATTGCAAGAAAGCTCGATTTCTTGCTGTGGGGATGGAATTACATTTGCGTAGACATGGTACGCGAATGGCTGGAACCACAACAACCACCTACGCGCGGATTGCGTCCGCATGTAGATCGGTGGACCGTCCAGGATTGGGCGCAGGCATTGAGGAGGTGTGCAGGCATCGAAGGGTACCTCCTCTTTGATAGTGAGAGCGTCAAGGTGTCGAAGCAAGACGAGGCGCAATTTGTGGAATTGTTCAAACGGGAGAGGTCTACCAAGAATGGGTACAAGACCCGCGACTACAAAGATCGCTTCCGCCGAACTTTAGCCGCAGCGCTGCTGCAATTGCTGCAGCCACACCGCACCTCCTACATCACCTTGTGGCAGGTTTCTTTTGTGGAGCTCATCTTGGAGGGAGCTCCAGTTCACTGGGCGAGCATCCTGCATAGAGTGATGCGACAGCACGCATTCGAGGAGAAGGGGGGGACTCTCAATCACCTCTCCCCTTTCTTGATCAATTTCTATCGACAGAGGAACTGTCTGACCGCGGCGGAGCTCGCTCGCTTTCCGCCATTGTCCGTCGACCATCCTGGAAAGTATGTGCAGGATAACAAGGTCGACACCGATGCAGAGGATTCATCAGCTTCTACTCCGCCGACACGAAGGGACGAGGGAAGAAGCACACCCGCAGCAAGAGTGCCGCGAAAGCGTCGATGGAGAGAGGAGTCAGAGGAGGAGCAGCATCGAGAACCCACTGCTCCCATATGACAGCGGCCACTGCACGAAGTGTGCAGCCGGCCGAAGCAGAAGGCGCGCAGGCTTGTGCTACCAGGCAGCAGCGCGGACACGGCGACGATAGCCACGGAGAAGGGAAGTGCGTCGCCAGAGAGGATCGAGAGAGCACGGACGTCCGCAGGAGCGGCGGACCACGCTACGCCTTCGACGGACGAGAGGCGGCCTTCGGGCCAAGGGCCTCCGGAGTTACCACGTGCGATGCAGACGAGTGTTCCGCCTACGCACAGGCGAGTTTTAGCGGAAAGGCGACCTCAAGCGGACGTGGACCTCCGCCTACGCGTAGGCAGAGAAAGTTCGCCTACGCACAGGCGGCCGCCTACGAGTAGGTAGGATTCACCCCCGATACAACGTAGGAAGGGGAAGGAGCCGGCGGAAGATCCGCCTTCGGGTCAAGGGCCTTCGGGACCAGACCCGCCGGCGTATAACGCGCCGCGATTTGTGCCTTCGGCGCCAGGGCCTTCGGGTCAACAAGTTTTGAGCAGGGAGCGTGCGGAGACCGCACCTTTGGCGGGTAATCCGCCGGCAGATGCGCCTTCGGCGGTAGGGCCTTCGGGGCCAGGGACATCGGGCGAGTGGCCTCCGGCTCTGTCGCCTTCGGCGATAGACGTCTTCGGCGCTGCGCCTGCAGCGGACAAGGCGCCGGTACTTGCGCCTACGCACAGGCCAGACGCAGCCCTCGCGTAGGACCGATCGAGGGAGCAGGACCTAACAGAGGAGCGGATTGTCTGTCCGCGGGACGAAATTTGGGTGCGCGATGCGCAATTACACCCCGCTCGATCGCCTTCGGCGGCGGGCGTCGGCGACGAAGAGGACATAGTCGACGAGCGACAGGCGGATGATGGGGATGTAGCACGGCTACATTCACCCACCGCCTTGGACATTTTAGCGGGGAGCAGCGAAGCTGCAGGAGTGCCTTAGGCGGCAACACCCGTAGACAACTCGCAGCCCCACTCGGGTCAGTCGCCAACGCAATCAATGGCGACCGAAATCCTCCCCTCGGATGATGACGAAGGAGGCTCCACAGAAGCAATGTCGGGATCGGGAGACACCGAGGAGGAGGAGGAGGAAATTGTTGGAGCGCCGGTTGCGGCGCTCTCTGAGCAGGTAATACCTCTGCTGAGGTACTTGGATCGCAAATTTGATAAATACGCCGATCCACTCCAGCCGGGGTCCTACATCGAGTTAGTGCGCAGGCGGACTCGCACTAAAGTCCACACCAGCAAGCTACTAGCTAGGGTGGACCGGGAGCTGAAGGATTTACGGGAGAAGCATGCGTGTTTGTGGGGACAGTATAATCTCGTGCGGAAGTCGCACACCCACTACGACGCATTGAAGCAGGCGAGACTGGAAGAACTCACCAGGGATGTGGTGAAGACCACGGAAGAACTGATTTCTGAGAAAACTCAGAATCAGATTCTGTCAGAGGAGCTCGTGCGACAGACGCGGTTGTTAGCGGAGTGTCAGCTCGCACGACAGGCGGATGAGGATTTGATCCGCAGGCTGCAGTCGGAGTGCGGGGAATTGAGAGCTCAGCGTGCGGAGGCCGAATCGCAGTTGGTAGTAATTGAAGATGATCGCAGGCGAGAGGCAGATCGCACGAAGGAGGAGATGGCGAGGCGAGTCGCCCACTGTTTCAAGGGCTACGCCCACTGGGAAGTGGCGGCGCAGGAGAAACTCACACTGCGTGAGTTGGAGCTTCGTGCAGCCGGGTTGTTGTCAGGTGACAGTAGGAGTCGCCGGAAGGTGGCGAAGAAGTTAGATTCTTTTCTGTCAAAGGCGCGGGATACAATGTCCACCCTCGAGGTGGAGGTGTCCGCGGCGTTGCAGCGTTTGGGACTGCGTAGTCGAGCGGAAGACTGGCAGGGTAGGGAGTTAGTGCGCGGCAGTCCGTCGCGCAGGAGGCGAAGCACAGGTTCCGTGGAGTGTAATGTAGCGTGGTTCCGTGCCGGCGTGTAGCGTAGTGCAGTGTAGTGCTAGTTAGGACTTAGAAGGTATAAAGTAGTTCAAGGCGTCTTGCCTTGGGTTCTTTCCCAATTTCGGAAGTGTAGATCAGGAACTCATTTTCTCTGCATGTTTGTGTCCTTAGTTCTGTCACCACGCACGAGGAGCTACACCTTGGCGTTCCGCATTTTGTAGCTGAAGGCCTTCGGCCGAATGTTCAGAGCTAGTACATTGGTTAGAGACTTGAGTAGTTCGGATCTACACCTGCGGGTGATTGCCGATGCTCAGAGCCAGTGACTAGTTAGATACTTGAATAGTTTCGCCCCTACACCTTCGAGTGTTTGTTCCTGATTGTACTCCTTCGGGATTTTTCCCCTGAATGCCAAAGTGAAGTTTTGCTACTTCGTGTAAGCCTTGGTTGTAAATTCAGGTTACGCTGCAGCAGGTGCCTTCAGGGTAACCCCTGTAGTATTTCTGGGAATGACAAGTGCCTGAGAATTCAAACTCTTCAATAGACTGTTATGGTGTGTTACTGGAATGTTTCACAGTGAGTCCTTCAGTACGGACATGTGTTCTCTGCGCATTTTGTGAGTTGAGAGTGTTGTTCACCGCGTGTGAGTGACTTTGATTTGAAGTAGGCAGTCCAAACCGGGTTTCCTACGCTAGCAGCAAGCTAGTGGAAGTGTTGTAAAAGCCGGAGTTGGGAGTCACTACCTGCAGCTTCGCTGAGTGTACTCTTGAGAGACCTTCCCCCTGAAATCTTGAGTAGAGGTCCTAACGGATCTCTGGGTTGTGTTTTTGTAGTTTCAGGTGTGTGTGTGTGTGTGTGTGTGTGTTACGCTGCACTGTGCGACCTCCGAGTGCGCTCCGAGTGGACACTTGCAGTATTTCTGGGAGTGACAGTCGCCTGAGAATTCAAACTCCTCAATAGTCTGTTAAATGTGACACTTTGTACCCTGTGTGTTCCTCTTGGGTTTGACCTTTCTACCACTATATTGCAGTTTTGGCCTTTAGTGGGTTATTACACGCCGAAGGCGAATTATGCGCCTTGCGCCGAAGGAGATCTCCTTCAAAATTGATCGTTCAGGTCAGGGCGCCTGTTCCGGACATTGCGCCCAACTTCTGGATTCTACGAGATCATATGGGATCCGCAATTATCCATCTTCACTCTATTTATATGTACCGATTACCCTTTACATGGCTGCTGCGGTATTGTTTTCCACAAATATTTTAAATTCCGCACAAAAACAAAAAGTGGGTTACCACAAGACCTTCGCCCGAATGTTTTGAGCTAGCAGATAGTCTAGTTAGGATCTCCAAGTTCGGAACTACACCTTCGGACGATTGTTCCCTATTTGTATTCCTTTGGGATTTTCCCCGTGAATGCCAAAGTGAAGTTTTGTTAACTTCGGAGTAAGCCTTGGTTGAAATTCAGGTTGTGTGTGATACGCTGCTTGAGGTGCCTTTTGGATAGCCTCCGCAGTATTTCTGGAAATGACTAGTGCTTGAGAATTCAAACTCGTCAATAGACTGTTAAGTTGTGACATTGGATCTTTTCTAAATTGAGTTTCTCTGTTCGGATTCCTGTAGTCCCTACGTGTTTTGTGAGTTGATTGTGTTGTTCACCACGTGATAGTGACTTCGGTTTGACGAAGTTACCGCATCCAAAGTAGGAAGTCCAACCCGGATGCTCTATTCTAGCAGTGACTAGTGACGGAGTTGTAAATCTCGGAGTTGGGGGTCACTACCTGTAGATCCTCTTAGTGTACTCTTGGGAAACTTTCCCCCTGAATCTTAAGTAGAGGTTCTAACCGACCTCTGAGTTGTGCTTTTATAGTTTTAGGTGTGTATTGGGGTGAACTACGCTGCACTATGCGACCTCCGAGTGACCTCCGAGTTGAGCATTTGCAGTATTTCTGGGAGTGACATTAGCCTGAGAATTCAAACTCCTCAATAGTCTGTTAAAACATGACATTTAGTACTCCGTGTGTTGCCTCTGTCCCTGTGGATTCGCCCTTTTGCTGCTATACTGCAGTTTTAGCCTTTGCTGAATTATTACAAAGGATCATGTCGCGGCGATAAGCTCATAATCCGACTTTGCGCACTCGTAAAGCATGCAATTTGATCGGTCGCGCAATCGCTGGTTCCCATTTTGCTCGTCTCCACGCCTCTATCCCGCGTCAAATTCTCAATGTGTTCGTGGAATGCGAGCGTCGAGCACTCAGCTCCTTAGATACACCCCGCCGTCTCAACGGTTTCCCATGCGTGTGAATTGAAGGTGCCGCCATTCAAATTCTTTCCCGTGCGGCACTATTTTTTACGTCCCCGGGTGCCCTTCACCGTTCCTGTGACCGTGAAGCTCCGAAGTCCCCATGTGTGCATGCTGAGTACCCTCTTCTGAGTACCTATCTAGGTACTGAGGGATGGTAAGTCTTCCTTCTTTTTGATCTGCCCCTCCAGGTTTGGACCTCACTGCCCTCCTGAAGGCCATCGCGGCGTCTGAGGTTCCCTCTGGATCGCTACTACTACCTCCTCGCCGCCATAACACAGCTATTCTATTCTAATCTAATTACTTCTACTCTAAAGAGTTAAAACCAACCTTAATTTTCCAACCTACTATTCTATTTCCGAAAAAACGGAAAAACTGACCTATCACACCAACTAATCATGTGAGTCTTTACTTTAGACTCACATTCATCTTTAGAGCTTATGATTCTATCTTCAAGTGAATTTCTCCCTAGTGTTATAGCGGAAGCTAAGACAAACACATCTGCCCATGCTACCACACTCATGTATAAGAACATCATTTCAAGGTTTGGATATCCAAAGATTTTAGTTAGTGATAGAGGTGTCACTTCGTGAACAAGATGTTTCAAGAAATGACTATAAGATTCCAAATAGACCATAAAAAGACTATTGTTTACCATCTGCAGAACAATGGTCAGATGGAGCGTGTCAACTGAGGAGTGAGCCAAGCATGTACTGAGGAGTGAGCCAAAAGACTGACATAGGAAGATTTAAAGTAGCACTATAGTCCTTGGCATATATACATAGCACCTCCATAGCACTATAGATCCATTATGATGCCATTCTCAAATATATATCTCTTCGCAATAGCCATACGCTCCATCTTTACACATGCAGCGACTATTATTGACAAAGTGGACACGACCTGGCCGACTTCAAATCTTTGCAGCAAAAATATGCCCCTCTCTTCAGCCGTGAATCTCCGCATGAATGAAACAAAAAACTGATCATACAGTGGGAGCGAGTAGATTGTGAATGTGACGAATAGTGGAAATGATGCAGCAGGTATCTGAAAGCCAATGGTCTCAATCTTTCTGTTCATGGTGGAGCCCTATTTCAGAAATAGAGTCCCGACCTAGGCAAATATAGCTGAGAACATGAGATTCAATACAGATTGGAAGCAGGCGGGTCAGCAGTTTGACTTCCTCCACCTTCGTCATAGTGCACAGCTTCCAAGGATCTGGTCGCGCATCTTTGCAGTTGTAGATGATCACTTCTTCCCCTGGTACCGTTGCTTTGTCCAAAAATGTGAAATCCTGGGTGTGAGGAAGTTTGCAGTTGGCAGGACCAAGTGCCTCCTTCTCATCAATCTTGTAGAGTAAGTCGTCATCATGAGGCAGCTCAACAGAGTACTTGCGGCAAGCAGCAACGATGACCTGGGCGACTCGAGCAAAAGGATTTTTGATCGGCTTTCGGTGGCGATACAAAGGAGTAACCAGAGGAATGTTGTGGTCGTGAAATAAGAGATAAGTGCAGGAATCTCCCATCTGTATTCCAAACCCACGGCGATGTTAACCAAGAAGCTGACAGAACACATGGTTCCAAAGCTTATTCCCACAAACCACCAAATCATGAAAGACATCTTGCGCTTGGCTTCTTTCCTGTTCCCGTCGTCAAACTGATCACTGGCAAAGCTTGCGACACAGGATTTGATTCCTCCGGCTCCCAAGGCCATCAGGTATAAGGACATGTAGAAGAAGCCTACTTGCAATGAAGTTGGCTTAGCGCAGTTTTCATCATAAAGGACGTCACAAACTGCGGCTTCAGAGTCGGCAAAGTTACAGACATGACAACCAATGCCAGCGCCACAAACTGCGGCTTCGGAGTCGAAAAAGTTACAGACATGACAACCAATGCAAGCGCCACAAAATAACTGCAGGAGACCGATGCAATTGTCCAACAACGTCTGCAAAGGAGTCAGCTATAAAAGATCCTAACAAGGGTGTGAGAAATGTTGTACCAACCCAATTATTTACATTCCTCGCTGAAACTGATACATCTTCATGCAGTGCCTCCTGAAGATCCATGCTCAGATTAGCTGAGATTGAATAAAATGCCATCCTTTTGCAATCTTCAGTATATTGAGCATAACATCAGAACATCTATGTATTTGTGGAACTTTTCACTCTTAATCTAGTAGAGGTTAATCTAATAAGAACTCTTCGCAAAAGAAATAAAAAATCTACTACTATCTCTCCTATCTAAAGAATAGTCACCTCACAATGAAATATCGTGATTGTGTGTTGTGAAAGGAGTAGTGATAGTGGAAAGTAAATTAAAAGGATCTAAGTGTTAGAGGGTTGGATTGATTATTGAAGGAGTAGCATTTAGGCAAAGGAGCGGCTGCAGAGGAATGTGTCACGAAAGAGAAGTTCTTGATTTGCCGTGACTGTAATCAACTTACAAGGTCAAGATTGGGGGAGAGTAAGGTACCCTTTAGTGGCGACGCAAGAGGTGGCAAGAATAGAACGGCTCGGAAACAAGCTATTCCTAAGAGGAGTGCGTGTGATTATCTTTTGCGGGGGAAGGGGACAAAATCAAAGTTCGAATAGTTTTTGAAGTGGGAGAAAGATTCAAGAGGTTGGCACTCAGTTATTGTGGAGCTGAATAGGTTTAACATGGTAGAACTTGCGATGGACCTGATAAGGTTCAGTCAGAGCCTGAAATTTGGCATCGTTTTCAAGGGGCTGGTGCCCTTGATGTGGAGTCGGCCGAGAAGAAAGATCGACTAGCGTTGCTGGCCAATGTTTCCACATTAGAGGCTGAGCTATACGACTATTAGTATCATATAGGACTGCTATTAATGGAACGGAAGAATAGGAATGTTAATAGAGAGGAGTTCAAGGCAGCCATTTTAGAAGTAAAGGAATGTTATAACCCACCAAAGGCTAAAACTGCAATATAGTGGTAGAAAGGTCGAACCCACAAGGACAGAGGCAACACACAGAGTACAAAGTGTCACATTTAACAGACTATTAAGGAGTTTGAATTCTCATGCGACTGTCACTCCCAAAAATACTGCAAGTGTTCACTCGGAGATCACTCGGAGGTCGCACAGTGCAGCGTAGTTCACTCAACACGCACACACACACCTGAAACTATCGAAACACAACTCAGAGATCGGTTAGGACCTCTACTTAAGATTTCAGGGGGAAAGTCTCTCGCGAGTACACTCAGCGAATCTGCGGGTAGTGACTCCCAACTCCAGCTTTTACAACCCTTCCACTAGTTTCTTCTAGCACAGGGAACCCAGAGTGGACTTCATACTTTGGATCGAAGTCCCTCACACGCGGTGAACAACACTCTCAACTCACAAAACGCGTAGAGAACACAGGTCCGCACGGAAGGACTCACTGAGAAACGTTTCGGTAACACACCATAACAGTCTATTGAAGAGTTTGAATTCTTAGGCACTTGTCATTCCCAGAAATACTACAGGGGTTGCCCTGAAGGTACCTGCTGCAGCGTAACCTGAATTTACAACCAAGGCTTACACGAAGTAGCAAAATTTCACTTTGGCATTCAGGGGAAAAATCCCGAAGGAGTACAATCAGGAACAGTCACTCGAAAGTGTAAGGGGAAACTGTTCAAGTATCTAACTCGTAACTGGCTCTGAGCATCGGCAATCACCCGCAGGTGTAGATCCGAACTACTCAAGTTTCTAACCAGTGTACTAGCTCTGAACATTCGGCCGAAGGCCTTCAGCTACACAATGCGGACCGCCAAGGTGTAGCTCCTCTTGTGTGGTGACAGAACTAAGGACACAAACACGCAGAGAAAATGAGTTCCTGATCTGCACTTCCGAAACTGGAAAAATCCCAAGGCAAGACGCCTTGAACTGCTTTATACCTTCTAAGTCCTAACTAACACTGCACAGCACTATGCTACGCGCCTTCACGGAACCACGCTACACTACACTCCGCAGAACTTGTGCTTCGCCTTCTGCGCGACGGACTGCCGCGCACTAACTCCCTACCCTGCCATTCCTCCGCTCGACTGCGCTGTCTCAATCGCCGCAACACCGCGGAAACCCCCGACTCGAGGTTGGCCATGGTGTCCCGCGACTTTGACAGAAAAGAGTCCAGCTTCTTCGCCACTCGCCGCCGGCTCCGACTGTCACCTGACAACAACCCCGCTGCACGAAGCTCTAACTAGCGCAGTGTGAGTTTCTTCTGCGCCGCCACTTCCGAGTGGGCGTAGCCCCTGAGACAGTGGGCGACTCGCCTCGCCATCTCTTCCTTCGTGCGATCTGCCTCCCGCCGGCGATCGTCTTCAACTACAACCAACTGCAATGCGGCCTCCGCACGCTGCGCTCTCAATTCCCCGCACTCGGATTGCAGTCTGCGGATTAATTCCTCATCCGCCTGCCGTGCGAGCTGACACTGCTCTAACAACCGTGTCTGTCGCACGAGCTCCTCTGACAAAATTTGAATCTGAGCCTGCTCAGAATCCAGCTCCTCTGCGAGCTTCGCCTTCTCCTTGGCGAAATCTTCCAGCTTCTCGTCCTTCGTCTTGTCGAAAGCTTTGTACACCTTCTTAATGAGATTGAGGTGGCCCCACAGGCAATCATGCCTCTCCCGCAGATCCTTAAGTTCCTGATCCACACGGGCCAACAACTTGCTGGTGTGGACTTTAGTGTGGGTTCGCCTTCTCACTAATTCGACGTAGGACCCAGGCTGGCGGGGGTCCGCGTACTTCTCCATTTTGCGATCAAGGTACCTCAACAGAGGTACTACCTGCTCGCAGAGTGCCGCCGTCGGCCTGCTTGCCACTGACTGTTCCTCCTCCTTACTTGATTCCGATCCCGACGCTGATTCCGTCGATCCTCCTTCTTCGTCATCCTCCGAATTGAGGATTTCGGTCGCCACTAAATTCGTAGGCGACTGTCTTGAGTGTGGCTTCGAAATGTATGCGTCGTCTGCCACCACTGTCGCCTCTGCAGCCTCGCTGCTCCCTGCCAAAATGTCCAAGGCGGCGGGAGAATGTGATTATGCCAAATTCACATCGCCCGCCCGTCCGGCTTCTGCTTACTTCTCATCGCCGAAGGCGATCGTGCGGAAGGTGTCTACGCGGAGTGCAATTGTGCATCGCACACACGTATTTCCTCCTGCCAACAGTCAATCCGCTCCTCCGTTAGGTCCCGCTCCTTCATTAGGTCCTGCGCCAGGGATGCGTCCTGCCTATGTGTAGGCGCTATTGTTGGCGGCGCTTGCGCCGAAGGTGGTTGAGCCGAAGGCGGCTCGCCTGATGTCCCTTGGCCCGAAGGCCCTTCCGCCGAAGGCGCACCTTCCGGCGCATTTCTCGCCGAGGGCGCGTTCCCCGCCAGCTCCCTACTTGTAACTCGGTGGCCCGAAGGCCCTTGCCCCAAAGGCGCATTTCCTAGCGGTCTCACCGCCGAAGGACCTTGCCCCGAACGCCCTTGAGCCGAAGGCAAATCTTCCGCCGGCTCCTTTCTTTTCCTGCGCTGCACCGGAGGTGAGTCTCGCCTATGCGTAGGTGCTCTCCTATCCGCAGGCGTTCTCCTGTCTGCAAGGATTCGCCTATCCGTAGGCGGCACACTCATCCGTGCCATGTGTTGTCGCTCCTGACCCGAAGGTCGTCTTACTTCCGCCAAGGGCGTCCGTGCCTTCGGCGTAGGGAGGTCCGCTGACCCCTCTGCTGTCCGTGCATTCCCGTCCTCCTCCGAGCATGGGATCTCCTCCTCTCTGGCTGCCCGCGCCGTCTCCGCGCTAGTTGCAGGTAATACAAGCCGGCGCGCTTTCTGCTTCGGCCGACTGCAAATTTCTTCCAATGGCCGCTTCCGTTTGAGAGCCGTCGAGTCTCGATGTGGCTCTTTCTCCAGTTCCTCTCTCCATCTCCGTTTCGCGACACTCTCGCTGCGGATGCGTCTCTCCCCGCATCCTGTTGAGCCGGTGGAGTGGAAGTCGGAGTGTCCTCCGCCTCGGAGTCGACCTCGTTATCCCGCACATACCTCCCGAGATTGTCGAGTGACAACAGCGGATACTGAATACGCTCGGTCGCGGTTAAGCAACCCATCGACCGATAAAAGTTTATCAAGAAGGGGGAGAGATGATTGATCGTTCCTCCCCTCTCCTCAAACGCATGCTGCTGCGTTACCCTATGCAAGATACGCGACCAGTAAACTGGAGCTCCGGCCAATGTGAGCTCCACGAAAGACACTTGCCAAGAAGTGATGTACGTTGTTCGGTGCGGCTGCAAGAGTTGCAAAAGTGCCATCGCTACGTTTCTGCGGAAGTGATCTCGGTAGTCACAGGTCCTGTACCCGTTCTTGGTGGACTTCTCTCTCTTGAACAATTCCATGAAGGAGGCTTCTTCCGCCTTCGACACCTTGACGCTCTCACTATCAAATAGAAGGAACCCGTCCTCGCCTGCACATCTCCCCAGTACTTGTTCCCAATCTTGGACAGTCCAACGATCTACGTGCGAACCATCCGCAGCTGAGTGGACTTCGACATTGCGTTCTTGAAATTCGATTTTGTGAACCTTCCTCCGCTACCCTCAAGCTTCTTGCTCACTACTTCGATTCTCCTGCAAAATCTAATCTCTCTCGATTCCGACTGTCGCGCACTCAATTCTTTCTCTGTCACCGTGTGAGTCTCTACGCGGTGGTGTCTAGAATGTCTCTCGGCTAGAAGGTGGACGCGCGCAACTCGCACAAGAAATTGAAATCGCAAATTCAAGAATGAAGTGTCTGTTCTACGCTCTCAGGATGTCATGGTCGGCACTCGGTCGTGAATGTCGACTCACTTGATGGCTACGCCGGCTTGGAGGTGTAACGGCCCTCCTCTCGCACGCGCGGCTTCACGCTCCGTCTTCGCGCGCACTCGCACGCTTGAAATGTCAATTTGAACTCCGCCAGCGTACTTCGCCGCGGCCATGGTCGCGCAGCGCCGAAGGCGTCTTTCTCACTGACGCGCTACTTGCATTCGTTCTCCAACTCGCATCGATCCCGCTCCGCCGAGGGCGTCCTCCTTCCGCCGAAGACGGATTTCTCGGCAAACTTCCTGCCGGCTCCGAACTCCATCCGCCTGTGCGTAGG